GCCTTAGAAACACCACCAAATATTTATGTTTTCATGTTAGTTCTGATTAAGTCACTTTAAACTACCCCTAGGGACTGAACTTGTCTCTTCTCAACCTCAACATATTTATTCCTTCTTTGCATGTTGCTGAGCATGGATTTCAGAGAGAACTTCACATGGTGAGAGTAGTGAAAGGGGGGTGGGGAACAAAGGAAGTACAAAAAGGCCTTAAACTGTCACTGAGGTCATAGTGCTGGTGTTTTTTCTATTTGCATCCCCCTCTTGAATTTTTTCATGAAGCCATTTGTTTGCAAGAGCTGTGTTATTTTAGATTTCCCAAGTTTGTTCTTCCAAATTAGTCTTCCTTCTGTTCCTTGTGTTGATCCCTCTTCCTAGAGCAAGCCTGCAGAGAGAACTAGAAGTTCAGCATGGTGCTGAATGAAGAGTGGTGAGAACATACATCCTTGTCATGTTCCTAATCCCAGAGAAAGCATTCAGTATTCAGTCATTCACTGTTTTATAAAATGCTGGCTGAAGAAGGTTTTTTGTAGATGCCCTTTGTTGAGCTGAAGAAGTTTCTCTTTATTCTTTTTTTTTTTTTGAGTTTGTTTTTCTTAAATGGGTGTTGAATTTTGTCAAGTGCTTTTTATGCATTTATTGATAATTATTATGTAATTTTTATTTTTAGACTTCTAAGGGCACAGGTTATATTGATTCTTTTTTTTTTTTTTTTTGGTACTGGGGATTGAACTCAGGGCTGCTTAACCACTGAGCCACATCCCTATCCCTTTTTACTTTTTATTTTGAGACAGGATCTCATTAAGTTGCTTCAGGCCTTGCTAGGTTGCTGAGGCTGGCTTTGAACTTCACGATCTTCCTGCCTCAGCCTACTGAGCTGCTGGAATTACAGGCATGCACCACTGTGCCCAGCCTCTTTGATTGTTTTGAATATTTAACCAATCTTGCATCCATAGGATGAATCCTATGATATCCAATTTTTAATACATTGTGGAACTCTATCTGCTAATATTTTGTTAAAGTTTTTTTTTTCTTCTTTTTTTTGTATTTTATACTTGAGGGATGCTGGTCTGAAGTTTTTTTTTTTCTTTCTTTCCTTTTTTGTACTGTCTTTGGGTTTGTTTCAGTCTAATAGAGACCTTCTCAAAAATGATTTTAGGGGCTGGGGCTGGGGCTCAGTGGTAGAGTGCTTGCCTAGCATGTGTGAGGCACTGGGTTCAATCCTCAGCACCACATATAAATAAGTAAAATAAAGGTCCATTGAAAAATTAAAAAAATTTAAAAATGATTTCAGAAGTGATCTCTTTATTATTTTCCACAAGAGATTTTATGTAATTGATTTTGATTTTTCCTTAAACATTTGATAGAACTCTCCAGTGAAACTACATGTGATTGGAAATATTTTTTTTAGAATTTTAATTTACAAATTTTATCTCTGTTGAGAGCCACAGCCTAAGCAGCCCCAGCAAACTTCCAGCTGATTGGCTCCTCTGTGGTGATGCTCATTGGGCTGTTTCCCCGCCCTTTCAGACCACGGAGCTGCTCATTGGGGGACTCTTTTGGCTCCGCCCATGTGACCCAGCCAATCGGTCTCAAGAGCAGGAGGAGTGAGGGGGGGGGGTTGAGAGGCTTGTGGGAAGCCAGTGGTGGCAGTTGGGCTCTGAGGGAATTCCTGAAGAGCTCCTGTGGTGCAGCCTGTGTGTTCTAAAAATAAAGTTCGTTTCTGGTTGACAAGTAGCTTGTGAATTGTGCCCAGCCAGACTGCGGCATATTTCCTTAATATTTACAATTCTATTCAAATGATCTATTTCATATTGGGTAAGTTATAGTTTTTGTTTTCTGAGGAATTGGTTTGTTTCATAAAATTGTCAAATTTTATGTGTGTAGGGTTGCTCATAATATTCTTTTGTTTATCTTTTGATAGCTCCTTGATCTGGAACAATATCCTCTGTTTCATTTATGATTTTGGTAACTTGTGTTTTCTCTCTTTTTTCCTCTCAGTCATGCTAGAGGTTTGATAGTTTTATTGATTTTCAAAAATTTTATTGATCTTTTTAAAGCACCAATTCATTTTGCATCATGTTCACACACTGAGAATCTCTAAGACAGTCACTTCTTTCTTTTCAGTTTGTTTCTCCTCTATCCTACTTTTACATAGTTAACATTTTCTTTCAGTTGCATTACACATTCCTGTGGCCTTTCCTCTCCTCTTCTGTGTCTTGGCAGGTGCTCTATTATGTTTACCCTTCCTTTTGGCCTTGCTTCTGAAAGGTGACCACATCTTGCTGGTATTTCTAGGTTTCATTTTTTATTAAGACTGCTTTAAATAATAATTGCACAAGACAACTCTGAGTTCTAATTAGAACCATTATAGCTACATTGTAGAAATCTTGCCTAATAAAAAACCCAAATAATTTGATAGTTGCCAATTTTGAACACATCTAAGTGTGCAAGACCATAGTCTACTGGAAAGGCATGGTGATACCACACTAGGGTTTAGGTCCTGGCTATGTTGCTTACAATCTAAAGAATAGCCAGAGTGACTCTTCATTGCTTAGGTCTATTCCAATGAAGCCTTATAAGGTCACTAAGTGGATTGAAGGTAGATCTTGAAGTAGCATCAAGTTTTTAGAAACTGGTCATATCTACTGTCATCCCAGGGGAGTAACAAGTTGGCATTCATTGCTGTGTTTTTGACTTATTACCACCTTGCTCAGCTTAGCTGAGTTGGAAGACTTCAGTGTTCCATGTACACAACTGCCTTGAGTATTGTCATTTTTGCAACTGTGTTTTAGGAATGCTCCCTGTCTAGAAATCTCCTTGCTTTCTTCTGTACTTCTCTGAATTCTAGCCACTCTCCAGGGCTAAATCAAGTAATCCCTGACCAGAGAGATCTTCTCTGGCAATCACAGATTAAACTGATGGACACTCTGAACTCTAGTAGCATTTTCTGCCTATGCCATTGAGCTGTTTTTTTTTTTTTGTTGTTGTTGTTGTTGTTTTGTTTTTGGAATCATTGGTTTGGGAACACAAGGTCTTGTCAAGACATTCCTGGGCTTCAGTCTTGGCTCTGCCATTTCTTAGCTGCATGACCTTAGGCAGGTGACTTTGCTTCCCTGAATCTTGATGGCCTCCTCTGTAAAATGAAAAATCATCTCTGCCTGTCCAGTTATTATAAAGATCAGATAAAATATCTTAAAAGCTATTAAGTGCCAACTAAATATTGTGGGGTTTTAATACAATAATAGTTAAAAATCAAGGTTAAATGAGAAAATATTCATGATATAATGATGTAATAAGAGAATTGCAGCACTATAGGTAAAGTAAGAAAGATCCATGTGTGTTTAAGTGTGTGTTCACAAACATGTACATTAAAAGAATAGAAGACACTCTTCAAAATGTTACTCTGAGTAATGGTTAGTTCTGGGTGATGGGATGATCATTGTTTTTCTCTGTATTTTGAATTTTTAAGGATGGGACTAGAATAGATTTATAAATTTAAAATATTATTTAAAAAAGAAAAATCAAAGTCTGATGGTATGTTGTTATTTTATTATTTATATTCCACCATATTTTGGAAAGGCTTTAAAGTAGCATATAATATAGTAAGATAAAACTGAAATGTAAGACAAAAAGAAACAAAAGAGAAAACACAGACAGGGAGATGATATGTAGTGACACTTTTAAATATTTGGTATTAAGTATCTTGTGTTTTTTTAAAGCATGTTTTCTTCAGTCATAAATTAATAGGTAAGATTAACTTTGTAAAAGAAAGGCAGCATTTTACAATATAATGTAATCAAATTAAAATGATATACAAAAATGACTGGGGCTGTGGCTCAGTGGTAAAGCACTTGCCTAGCATGGGTAAGGCACTGGGTTCCATCTTCAGCACCACATAAAAATAAATAAATAAAAATAAGGGTATTGTATCCACCAGAACTAAAAAAAAAAAAATAAGAAATTAAGTACAAAAGAATTTTCTGGTAGTTTTGAGTGAGTTAAAAATTCTAGTTTTTTTTTTTTTGCATCACTATTCTCATTACACATATACAGCACAATTTTTCATATCTCTGGTTGTATATAAAGTATGTTGACACTAATTCATGTCTTCATACATGTACTTTGGATAATGATGTCTCTGGTTATTTTATTGTTGGGTCAGTAAACATCTCCAAGAAGGCACAGTTGCTATTGATTATATTATATTATACTCATAATATGCAAGTTACAAATATACATTTGATTAGTGTTGGGTTTTCATGTCTTTTTTTTTTCTTCTTGGTACTGGGGATTGAACTCAGGGCACTCAACCACTGAGCCACATCCCCAGCCCTATTTTGTATTTTATTTAGAGACAGGGTCTCACTCTGTTGCTTAGCACCTCACCATTGCTGAGGCTGGCTTTGAACTCGTGATCCTCCTGCCTCAGCCTCCCATGCTGCTGGGATTATAGGCATGCGCCACCATACCTGGCTCATATCTGTTTTTTGTTTTGTTTTGTTTTGTTTAGAGAGAGAGAGAGAGAGAGAGAGAGAGAGAGAGAGAGAGAGAGAGAGAGAGAGGATTTTTTAATATTTGTTTTTTAGTTTTCGGTGGACACAACATCTTTATTTTACTTGTATGTGGTGCTGAGGATTGAACCCAGCGCCCTGCACATGCCAGGTGAGTGTGTTACCGCTTGAGCCACATTGCCAGCCCTCATATCTATTTTTAATAAGTTTAATGGAGAGGCAAACTAGAGTAATGAAATTCAAATTGGGAGTGACATTCTTGCCCAAACTCTGCCATTAATTATGCTTAACTCCTTGGCTTATTCCACCTTGCAAGTTGAATGGCTTAAACCGTTTATAGTTTAGTAAAGTTGTAGTTTTATTTATTTAGGAATGTATATTTCCCTTAGTGTTTCCACTAAGAATAATTATAGTATGTTAGTTGATCTATGTTATTTCGCTGTGTTGTTGGATATTAACATAACTTAAATATATATTTTTTTTTCACAGAGAGACCTCTCTCCCCCAAGGCTGTCAAAGGATTTGAAACTGCTCCACTTACCAAGAATTATTATACTGTGGTGAGTGTTCAGATGATGAGCAAAAATTTTCTTGACTCTGTATGGAAACTTTCTACTTGTCAAACCATTGATGTTTTCAGGTGTCACAAAGGAAAACTGGATAAAGTTGTATCGTAAGGTTCTAGTGCCATTTGCATTACCACATTGCTCTTCTACTTGTAGGACTCTTACGGATGTCTGGAAGTTCTACATACATGGTACTAAACAATTCAAGGGTAGCACAAAGAGTGAGGCCTGTTAAATACCAGTGAAAGAGAAATTGGTTCATACATAAGTATTATGGAGAAATTCAGCAGTTAGACAAAGTCTTTCCAGATATCAAGAAGGTGATTTCCCAAGTTCCTCTATTGCTGTACGTTTTAAGTGATTATGTTCTATAAATTTTACTTTAGAGTCAATCAATCCATTATATCCTCTGGAATATTATCAACTCTATTCTTGAGGAGAGCCCTAAGGAAGACTACCCTTTGGCACAGAGGGAAGAATGAAACAGCTCTGGCTTGAACACAGATATGTCAAACTTTATTAGCTATAAATAGGGCATGTGCAATACTCAAAATAAGTTCCTGTTTGAAAAGAAATCACATCATTCTCCTTAATCTACTCTCTGCTTGCCTTCATGCCTCCTTTTCCGACTTGGCTCAGTCACTAATGAAAAGGCCAAGTCATCATCACTCTAAGTTGCCCTGTCTGGTTGCCTCCCCCCAACCTCTGCTGAAACACAGCTTCAGTTTTTACCCAGTGTTTTCTGTTAATTTGTACTGCATGCTCATTTCATTTTGTGCATGGAAAAGAAGTTTTTAATCATCTCTATATAGGTATGTGAATGTCATTTGGTTTCCAAAAATTGAATTTCACTCTTCAGTGGATTTGTTTCATACTGGTGACATAAGCAGTAGGTAATAAGAAAACTTAAGACAGGAACTTTATAGGTAACATGGACAGTAATCATAAGGAAACTATTTTGTCAATATTTTTTTCCTCTAAAATTTCTGAGGAAAAAATTTATGACTCAGCAGAGCTGGGTTCCTTCATCCCTTTCTTCCTGATCACTTTTTTACTGGTCCAGGTGACCTCTAATAATTTAATTTTTAAGGAAAGCAGACAGTTGAGTGATAGATGAAAATGTTACCATAGCTTCTTCTCTGGAGATCTGGAGCATACTATAAGTCTGCTTGCAATCTCTCTGTGTGTCTGCTGGTTCCACCAGTTCAAACTGTTGTTAGGGGTCTGGGGTATAGCTCAGTGGTAGGATGTTTGCCTAGCATGCACAAGGCCCTGGATTTTATCACCAGCACTGAGAAAAAAAAATGTAAGGATTACCTGACAGATTACCTGGCAGATTAACTTCTGTGTTTTTTATGGGCTTTGTGTAAATCCTATACATATATTTTATAGAAACTACAGTTTATATAATCTACCTCTTATTGGAAAACATGTGCATTGTTTCTAGTTCCTTTATACTATAAACAATTTTGCAGTGAACATCTTATATATACAACTTTATCAAAGCATATCAAGATATGTAGGGTAAATTCTTAGAAGGCAAATTGTTTGTTTGAAAGATACATATGTTCTTAAAACTTTTTGATGGCTATTGTCTCAAATCGCAAGCTTAATGAAGAAAATAGAAAGTCTTGGCCAATTCTTACTGACTTATGAAGGAAATAGAGAACTTTCGCATTAATATTGTTAAATTATTGACTAGAGGCCAGTTGGTCATGTTGTAACTATATATGGATGTGAAGAGATTTTAGTTGGTGTTGTTTTACAATTTACATTTCTTTGGCTTTGAGTGTTTATACACATTTTTAGTGGTGCTTAACTCAACATATGTTCTCAGTGTTGTGATTGCCTTCCTTATTTGAATTGAATGCCTGAAACAAATTTTAAAAATACTGTACCATTAAAGCTGGGCACAGTGGTGCATGCCTGTAATCTCAGCAGCTCAGGAGGCTGAGGCAGGAGGATAGCACGTTCCAAGCTAACTTCAGCAAAACCAAGGTGCTAAGCATTTCAGTGAGACACTGTCTCTAAATAAAATACAAAATGGGGCTGGGGAGGTGGCTCAGAGGTTGAGTTCCCCTGAGTTCAATCCCTAGTACCCCCCACCAAATACTATCTCATCTATAGGATTTGGAGAAGTGGAAAGTCACATTCACCACATGAAAGATGTCTCCATCTGATCTTATATTAACTCTTCTTCCCACTAAGACTCATTAATTGTGTATCTTTCCTGTTGCCAGATCTATAAAACTACAAGTGACTGATTTTTACTCAATTTCAAAAACAACTTTTCTGATTATTTGACCTATTACTTAAAAAAATGTTATTAAATATCAGACAGTACAGGAGAATTCTAAAGAAGAAAATAGATACACCTGTGGTCCCCACCACTTAAAAATGATCAGTATTAACATGTGAGTGAATCTCATGTCAAACTTTTTATGAAAGGCATATGTTATATGCATATATATGTGTGTATATATATATATATATATATATACATATATATAGTGGGATACATGTGTGTATATGGTATATGTCTGTATCTTTTTAAAAATAAAAATAGGTACTATGTATTCTTCATTATTTCCCCTTCAAGGAGATTTTTCTATCCCCATACTCCCCTAGTACTTATCTCTGACCAGACCCATTATTATTTATTTATTTTAGATATACATGATAGTAGAATGTATTTTGACATATCATACATACATGGAGTATAACTTCTCATTCTTGTGGTTGTACATGATGTGGAGTTTCACTGATTGTGTGTTCACATATGAACATAGGAAAGTTATGTCTGATTTTATTCTACTGTCTTTCCCATTCCCAGCCCCACTTCCTTCCCTTCATTCAGACCCATTTTTTTTTAAATTTTTTATTGTTGGCTGTTCAAAACATTACATAGTTCTTGATATATCATATTTCACAATTTGATTCAAGTGGGTTATGAGCTCCCATTTTTACCCCATATACAGATTGCAGAATCACATCAGTTACACATCCATTGATTTACATATTGCCATACTAGTGTCTGTTGTATTCTGCTGCCTTTCCTATCCTCTACTATCCCCCCTCCCCTCCCCTCCCCTCCCCTCCCCTCCCCTCCCCTCCCCTCCCCTCTCCTCTTCTCTCTCTGCTCCCTCTACTGACATTCGTTTGTCCCCCTTATATTATTTTTCCCCTTCCCCTCACTTCCTCTTGTATGTACTTTTGTATAACTCTGAGGGTCTCCTTCCATTTCCATGCATTTTCCCTTCTCTCTCCCTTTCCCTCCCACCTCTCATCCCTGTTTAATGTTAATCTTCTTCTCATGCTCTTCGACCCTACTCTGTTCTTAGTTACTCTCCTTATATCAAAGAAGACATTTGGCATTTGTTTTTTAGGGATTGGCTAGCTTCACTTAGCATAATCTGCTCTAATGCCATCCATTTCCCTGTAAATTCTATGATTTTGTCATTTTTTAATGCAGAGTAATACTCCATTGTGTATAAATGCCACATTTTTTTTATCCATTCATCCATTGAAGGGCATCTAGGTTGGTTCCACAGTCTAGCTATTGTGAATTGTGCTGCTATGAACATCGATGTAGCAGTGTCCCTGTAGCATGCTCTTTTTAGGTCTTTAGGGAATAGACCGAGAAGGGGAATAGCTGGGTCAAATGGTGGCTCCATTCCCAGCTTTCCAAGAAATCTCCATACTGCTTTCCAAATTGGCTGCACCAATTTGCAGTCCCACCAGCAATGTACAAGTGTACCCTTTTCCCCACATCCTCGCCAGCACTTGTTGTTGTTTGACTTCATAATGGCTGCCAATCTAACTGGAGTGAGATGGTATCTTAGGGTGGTTTTGATTTGCATTTCTCTGACTGCTAGAGATGGTGAGCATTTTTTCATGTACTTGTTGATTGATTGTATGTCCTCCTCTGAGAAGTGTCTGTTCAGGTCCTTGGCCCATTTGTTGATTGGGTTGTTTGTTCTCTTATTGTCTAATTTTTTGAGTTCTTTGTATACTCTGGATATTAGGGCTCTATCTGAAGTGTGAGGAGTAAAGATTTGTTCCCAGGATGTAGGCTCTCTACTTACCTCTCTTATTGTTTCTTTTGCTGAGAAAAAACTTTTTAGTTTGAGTAAGTCCCATTTGTTGATTCTAGTTATTAACTTTTGTGCTATGGGTGTCCTATTGAGGAATTTGGAGCCCAACCCCACAGTATGTAGATCGTAGCCAACTTTTTCTTCTATCAGACGGCGCGTCTCTGATTTGATATCAAGCTCCTTGATCCATTTTGAATTCACTTTTGTGCATGGCGAGAGAAAGGGATTCAGTTTCATTTTGTTGCATATGGATTTCCAGTTTTCCCAGCACCATTTGTTGAAGATGCTATCCTTCCTCCATTGCATGCTTTTAGCCCCTTTATCAAATATAAGGTAGTTGTAGTTTTGTGGATTGGTTTCTGTGTCCTCTATTCTGTACCATTGGTCCACCCGCCTGTTTTGGTACCAGTACCATGCTGTTTTTGTTACTATTGCTCTGTAGTATAGTTTGAAGTCTGGTATCGCTATACCACCTGATTCACACTTCCTGCTTAGCATTGTTTTTGCTATTCTGGGTCTTTTGTTTTTCCATATGAATTTCATGATTGCTTTCTCTATTTCTACAAGAAATGCCATTGGGATTTTGATTGGCATTGCATTAAACCTATAGAGAACTTTTGGTAATATCGCCATTTTGATGATGTTAGTTCTGCCTATCCATGAACAGGGTATATTTTTCCATCTTCTAAGATCTTCTTCTATTTCTCTCTTTAGGGTTCTGTAGTTTTCATTGTATAAGTCTTTCACCTCTTTTGTTAGGTTGATTCCCAAGTATTTTATTTTTTTTGAAGATATTGTGAATGGAGTGGTTGTCCTCATTTCCATTTCAGAGGATTTGTCGCTGATATACAGGAATGCCTTTGATTTATGCGTGTTGATTTTATATCCTGCCACTTTGCTGAATTCATTTATTAGCTCTAATAGTTTCTTTGTAGACCCTTTTGGGTCTGCTAGGTATAGAATCATGTCATCTGCAAATAGTGATAATTTAAGTTCTTCTTTTCCTATTTTTATGCCTTTAATTTCTTTCGTCTAATTGCTCTGGCCAGTGTTTCGAGAACTATGTTGAACAGAAGTGGTGAGAGAGGGCATCCCTGTCTTGTTCCAGATTTTAGAGGGAATGCCTTCAGTTTTTCTCCATTCAGAATGATGCTAGCCTGAGGCTTAGCATAGATTGCTTTTACAATATTGAGGTATGTTCCTGTTATCCCTAGTTTTTCTAGAGTTTTGAACATAAAGGGATGCTGTACTTTGTCGAATGCTTTTTCCGCATCTATCGAGATGATCATATGATTCTTCTTTTTAAGTCTATTGATGTGGTGAATAACATTTATTGATTTCCGTATATTGAACCAGCCTTGCATCCCAGGGATGAATCCTACTTGATCATGGTGCACAATTTTTTTGATAAGTTTTTGTATCCGAGTGGCCAGAATTTTATTGAGGATTTTTGCATCTAGGTTCATTAGAGATATTGGTCTGTAGTTTTCTTTCTTTGAAGTGTCTTTGTCTGGTTTAGGTATCAGGGTGATGTTGGCCTCGTAGAATGAATTTGGAAGTTCTCCCTCTTTTTCTATTTCCCGAAGTAGCTTGAAAAGTATTGGTATTAGTTCCTCTTTAAAGGTTTTGTAAAACTCTGCTGTATACCCATCCGGTCCTGGGCTTTTCTTAGTTGGTAGTCTTTTGATGGTTTCTTCTATTTCCTCAATTGATATTGGTCTGTTTAGGTTGTCTATATCCTCCTGACTCAATCTGGGCAGATCATATGACTTAAGAAATTTATCTATGCCTTCACTATCTTCTAATTTATTGGAGTATAAGGATTCAAAATAATTTTTGATTATCTTCTGTATTTCTGAAGTGTCTTTTGTGATATTGCCTCTTTCATCCCGTATGTTAGTAATTTGAGTTCTCTCTCTTCTTCTCTTTGCTAGCATGGCTAAGGGTCTGTCGATTTTGTTTATTTTTTCAAAGAACCAACTTTTAATTTTGTCAATTTTTTCAATTGTTTCTTTTGTTTCGATTTCATTAATTTCAGCTCTGATTTTAATTATTTCTTGCCTTCTACTTCTTTTGCTGTTGTTTTGCTCTTCTTTTTCAAGGATTTTGAGATGAAGTATGAGATCATTTATTTGTTTTTTTTTTCTTTTTTTAAGGAATGAACTCCAAGCAATGAATTTTCCTCTTAGAACTGCTTTCAGTGTGTCCCATAGATTCCGATATGTTGTGTCTGTGTTTTCATTAATCTCTAAGAATTTTTTAATTTCTTCCTTGATGTCTTCTATAACCCATTGATCGTTCAGTAACCTATTGTTCATTCTCCAAGTGATGTATTCTTTTCCCTTCCTTCTTTTATCGTTGATTTTCAGTTCCATTCCATTATGATCAGATAGGATGCATGGTATTATCTCTACTCCTTTATATTGTCTAAGAGTTTCCCTGTGACATAATATATGATCTATTTTTGAGAAGGATCCGTGTGCTGCTGAGAAAAAAGTGTAACTGCTTGATGTTGGGTGGTATATTCTATATATGTCAATTAAGTCTAGGTTATTAATTGTGTTATTGAGTTCTATAGTTTCCTTATTCAACTTTTGTTTGGAAGATCTGTCCAGTGGTGATAGAGGTGTGTTGAAGTCTCCCATGATTATTGTATGGTGGTCTATTAGACTCTTGAACTTGAGAAGAGTTTGTTTGATGAACATAGCTGCACCATTGTTTGGGGCATATATATTTATGATTGTTATGTCTTGTTGGTGTATGGTTCCCTTGAGCAGTATGTAGTGT